ACAGAAATCAGAAAATTATTAATCTGCTGGAAAAAAAAAATGATTTAGTGTAAAATTTCGTAGTATAACTGGTACACGTATTTTTGCCGATCTGTGATACTAACTCCAACGAAGAAATGTAATTTAAATCGTACGATACGAATACAACGAGTGTCCCATTAATTATAAACAGCAGTGTATGTTAAAAAAACGAGATTAAGTAAAAGTTGTACATGTCGAAGTAACGAGGATTATCCAGAAGGAAGAAATATGCGTTAAAAAAGGGAAGAAAACGAAAGCAAGTGATCGATGAAAACTGTACTGTTTGGTGGTCGATTGACGAGAAATTCGCCGTGAAAAAGAAACCCCGAATACGCCGTATTCCCATCATGTGGCGCATTTCTAATTGCGACGCGGCATCGAGGGGCAGGGGAAGAAAACGAAAGCAAGTGATCGATGAAAACTGTACTGTTTGGTGGTCGATTGACGAGAAATTCGCCGTGAAAAAAGAAGCCCCGAATACGCCGTATTCCCATCATGTGGCGCATTTCTAATTGCGACGCGGCATCGAGGGGCAATTAAAGCGACGCGCGCTTTCTACAAAGCAGAAGATTAATACTCGTATTCTCTGCTCTACATACGCCTCTTCGTTAAAAGTCCTCTCCTCTCTCGTTCAAACACCGTTTTTCTCCGGGTTTCCCCCTTTTTCAGCGAGAAGATGCGCCCGAAAGCGAAATCGTCCTACGCGTCTTGACTCTAGAATCGTAATTTCCAATGATTCTCAAGTATTTCTCCACCGTCACAGAATTTTTATTCGACACTTTCATCGACCTTTTTGCAATTTGAAAATTTCGTCGATTCAAAAAAGAAAAAAAATTATTTTTAATAACGTGGACACGAAACGAGAAGTAAACGTAATTTCCAACGATTCTCAAGTATTTTCAACCATCGACAGAACTTTTATTCAACACTTTCATCGACCTTTTTGCAATTTGAAAATTTCGTCGATTCAAAGAAGAAAAAAAATTATTTTTAATAACGTGGACACGAAACGAGAAGTAAACGTAATTTCCAACGATTCTCAAGTATTTTCAACCATCGACAGAACTTTTATTCAACACTTTCATCGACCTTTTTGCAATTTGAAAATTTCGTCGATTCAAAGAAGAAAAAAAATTATTTTTAATAACGTGGACACGAAACGAGAAGTAAACGTAATTTCCAACGATTCTCAAGTATTTTCAACCATCGACAGAACTTTTATTCAACACTTTCATCGACCTTTTTGCAATTTGAAAATTTCGTCGATTCAAAGAAGAAAAAAAATTATTTTTAATAACGTGGACACGAAACGAGAAGTAAACGTAATTTCCAACGATTCTCAAGTATTTTCAACCATCGACAGAACTTTTATTCAACACTTTCATCGACCTTTTTGCAATTTGAAAATTTCGTCGATTCAAAGAAGAAAAAAAATTATTTTTAATAACGTGGACACGAAACGAGAAGTAAACGTAATTTCCAACGATTCTCAAGTATTTTCAACCATCGACAGAACTTTTATTCAACACTTTCATCGACCTTTTTGCAATTTGAAAATTTCGTCGATTCAAAGAAGAAAAAAAATTATTTTTAATAACGTGGACACGAAACGAGAAGTAAACGTAATTTCCAACGATTCTCAAGTATTTTCAACCATCGACAGAACTTTTATTCAACACTTTCATCGACCTTTTTGCAATTTGAAAATTTCGTCGATTCAAAGAAGAAAAAAAATTATTTTTAATAACGTGGACACGAAACGAGAAGTAAACGTAATTTCCAACGATTCTCAAGTATTTTCAACCATCGACAGAACTTTTATTCAACACTTTCATCGACCTTTTTGCAATTTGAAAATTTCGTCGATTCAAAGAAGAAAAAAAATTATTTTTAATAACGTGGACACGAAACGAGAAGTAAACGTAATTTCCAACGATTCTCAAGTATTTTCAACCATCGACAGAACTTTTATTCAACACTTTCATCGACCTTTTTGCAATTTGAAAATTTCGTCGATTCAAAGAAGAAAAAAAATTATTTTTAATAACGTGGACACGAAACGAGAAGTAAACGTAATTTCCAACGATTCTCAAGTATTTTCAACCATCGACAGAACTTTTATTCAACACTTTCATCGACCTTTTTGCAATTTGAAAATTTCGTCGATTCAAAGAAGAAAAAAAATTATTTTTAATAACGTGGACACGAAACGAGAAGTAAACGTAATTTCCAACGATTCTCAAGTATTTTCAACCATCGACAGAACTTTTATTCAACACTTTCATCGACCTTTTTGCAATTTGAAAATTTCGTCGATTCAAAGAAGAAAAAAAATTATTTTTAATAACGTGGACACGAAACGAGAAGTAAACGTAATTTCCAACGATTCTCAAGTATTTTCAACCATCGACAGAACTTTTATTCAACACTTTCATCGACCTTTTTGCAATTTGAAAATTTCGTCGATTCAGAAACGAAAAAAAATTCATTTTTACAACGTAGACCAACGTGTAACCAGAAACGAGGGACAAAGGTAATTTTCGTAGATCTTCAAGTGAGATGATTTCGCCAGAAAGACAAGTTGAAAAGTGTGGACATCGTGGGGGACGATCAACAATGGCGCGAGACTAGGCCGCGTGGTATTTTTAGGCGAACGATGATTACTTAGAACAGAGAGACGCCGCTACCAATGATAATTTATCACCGAGAAACGTTCCGCGTGCTGATCTATGACCCCGTAATCTACGTTTCTGTGCTTCTTCCTCCTGCAGATATTCAGTCGTTGAATAACCGACTAAAACGAACCGTCGAACGTGAATCAGTTTGTAATAGATCGTTCTCTTGGATCTTATTTTCCACCACACATTTATTTATTTATTTATTTTTCTAACGTCTCTAATACGCGCACGAGAAAAGGAAGATCGCTTAGAGTGAAATGATAAATATCTCGCGCTCATGTATGAAAATAAATATATAAATAATTATAGATAAACGGAAACAGAAAAAAAGAGAAGAAATATTAGAAGGAGGATAGAAGATTTATTTAGCAGTTAAATTGATTTATCGGAAATTTTCTTGGAAACTCCTAGAAATTGTAAATGCTGTCCTATTGTACTAACATTAGCATCAATTTCATTCGAGTTATAAATCAACGTCACTTGCCATCCGGCCTCCTCTTGTTCCCAAACTAACGCAATGATTAATACAACTTTTCTCTGACGCTCATCGGCCAAAATTATAATTATTTATCACCTGTTACAAATATTCCAGATAAATCATTTCACTCCCCGATACACCACTTAACTCTCCTTTACCCCGCCTTCCTCCTCCAATTCGACTGGAATTATTTTTAACATCCGTCCAAACGTCTCTAAGCGATATTTTATTAATGTCTCGAGACCCGAGATATTTCAGATTCACCCTTGATCCTCGTCCCACCGATCGTTTCGCGGCTTCTTCTCGCTCTGGCGTGGAGCAGAGGTGAAGAAGGATTCTTCAATTTTTTACACTTGAAATACCAATTTCATAGTATACTCGTTTCGGTGAAGAGGTGTTCATCGTGAGGCAGAAGGAAAAGTCCTGTACGCCTGTCTTTGAACTTAACGCAGTAATTCGCAAGTTGTTCTTTCGATAAAAAGGTCATTGATGGGTAACAGTGATACGGAAACCAGAGAGAAATTTTTTTAAATTCTATGTCTCGATCTTTCAACTCAAAATACTAATACTTGAGGAATTCTTTCGGTAAAAAGGTATTAGGGGCTAAATCATCCCATTTAACGCTGGAGCGGTCTTCGGGTCTTTTTTGACCCACCGCATTTTTATATTTTTAGTCATTTTTGCTGTTATCAAGTTTACGTTCCTTAACATTATTTTAAACGTTTATTGTCTAGGTTCACGTAAGGTCTTATGTCCTTTTTGAGCCAAAAGTCTTAAGTGTACAGTCAAAACGAGGACCGTTCTAGGGTTAAAGGCGCACAGTGATGCAGAACCTAAAAAACAAATTTTTCGCAATTTTTTCAAAAAAATTCACACACGTCATCTAGTAAACTACTCCTTCTAACTTCTGAAAAAAACCTCAAGTCGTCCGGCCCAATTTTAAAAAAGGTATCCCGGTTTACAGAGTGTACGAATACTTTTTACATTCGCTGTAAAACGGCAGAAATGTGAAAATTGTGATTTTACGGAAACCAACGAGAAGCGGTTCTTTTTTCTTCTTCTCGCGGGAGAATACGAAATCTTGTATGAACGAAAGAAACTGGATTAACCGAAGTTAACCAGTCGCAGGTGAAATTTTAAGCGTGGACACGCGCCCTTTCGATAATGAATATTTTTCTTTTTTTTTTTTTTTTCCAAAAGAACGACACGACGATAGAGATATTGTTTCAAGAAGAAGATTTCATTTCGTAATGTAGAATTGCTTCCTGTGTCCACCTTAACGAGCTGCTCGAGGTCTATTTTTAAAAGTGGAGACTTAATCAGAGTGTATTTTTGCTTCGATGCATCAGTTTGACGCGTTCGTTGTTTGGGTCATCCGTGATCCCTATATTCGAATATGTACTTGAAATAGAAAGCTTAGAGGGTGGGAGAAACGTAAGTTTAATGGAAAAATTTAAGAACAGGAAAGCTTGTTTTTTTTTTTTCTTGCAGTAAGTGAATTTCATAGATGAATAGTGGAATTGGTGTAACACACGTTAAATGCGTGTATATAAGCTTTTACATTGCCACGAAAGTATGAGCCAAGTCGAGCTTGTTGGTACGGAGGAGTGTATAATTTATTTCTAACATTTACGAGCGTATAAATTGCATCGATGTTGTTTTACGCCAAAAGTATCGCGTTGTATCGCAAGATATATATATATGTATAGGACAATGAATAACGGGGTCGTTTAATGTTGATTAAATGCAGTCGACAGTTTTTCTTTTCTTTCTGATGGAAGATTTTCGAAAGATCATCTAAATCGAGAATTGATCCGTAATAGTTTCAGAAAAATGGCTTCGTCGTCCTGGAGGACTTCTTTCAGCCGGATGAGATCGAAGAGCTGAAATTCTCTGGCGAGGAGTTTACCAAGAATTTACCACCGGAGAGCGAGAGAACAGTTTTCGACACGATAAAACAGCAACAGGTGAGAAAAATTGAACAAACTACGCCTTGTATGTTTTTTTATCGTTTATTGCATTATTATTTGCATTGCGTTAGAACAAAGATAAATATTTCCTGGACAGCGCCAACAAAATCAGCGTGTTCTTCGAGTCTGAGGCACTGGAGGCGGATGGAAAATTAAAAGTTCACCCTCGAGTGTCCTTAAATAAGGTAAAGCATGAAAAGAAAAAGAAATGGAACAAGCTCTTTGAGTTAAAAAACGATAAAAAGATACAAATACATTTGCATGTCACGCTTGTTATTTACACAGTGTTTTTTTTTTTTTTTTTTTTTTTTGTAGGTAGGTCACGCTCTTCATTGGCTTAATCCTACGTTCAAAAAGTATTCTTTCGACGAACGAGTTAAAGAGACAGCTTATCAATTGGATTACGAAGAACCGGCTATTTGTTCGTCGATGTACATTTACAAAAATCCGGGAATCGGATCGGAAGGTAAACAGAAACGTAAATTATAACATGTTACAAGCAAAGTCGTACAAATCATATGAAAAATATTTGTCGCATTTTACAGTTACTTAAGTAACGATAGATAGATTTTCTTGTGTTTTTCTTTTTGCAGTAGTCATGCACCAAGATGCAACGTATTTTTACACTGATCCAGTGAAGGTAGTTGGTTTCTGGATCGCGTTAGAAGACGCTACTCAAGAGAACGGTTGTCTATGGATCGCACCTGGTTCTCATCAAAGCGGTGTACATCGACGTTTTGTAAGAAATAAGGATCCAGATTCCGAGGAACTGTTGGTCTACGACAGACTTGCCCCCTGTTATCAACTGAGCAATTTTCGACCGGTACCAGTTAGCAAAGGAACCTGCATCCTCCTTCATGGACAAGTAGTACATTTTTCGTATCCGAATAGAAGCGATAAATCTAGGCATGCTTACACGTTTCACGTAATCGAGACGCAAAATGTTTCCTATTCGAAGGATAATTGGTTACAACCACCACCGGGTGGATTTCCAAAACTGTACAGAAATTAAATTCACCTTCGCGATATAATTCTGGAAGGTTTTGAAGCGTTATAACATTGTTTCGTCAAAAGATCGCCCATGGTAACATAATTTAATACCGATTGCTATTCTGGCTGTGCATTTTTATTTTTCACGTTGTACAAAAGTTACTTCTTGTATTATATTAAACTGTTAATAAAAACGTTTAAAGTATTAATATTATGTATGGAAAAGACATACCGTTCACTGTTAAAACGATATCACAGTTAATTCACATGTAATATCATGTCTCTAGAATATTGTTCGAACGAAAACATCTTGTACATATAGATTAGTAGAGAAAGTACAACTGAGGTCATGGATATATTTAGTTAATTCATAAATACAAAACTATACACATCTATAGCTTGCTAATCTGCAGAAGTGTGTGCTAAGTTCTTGTAACTGACGCAAACCTCTATTCAGCACTTCTTCCTTCCGTTTAACGCAACAATATACATCGAGAGGCACTAAATCAATATTAACCAACTTTGCCGCCGTTGGCGTGGACTCGGGAAGAAACATTATCAACGTCTGATGTAGATTTGCTAACGTTCGATAGTCAATACTGGAGTTTTGAACTTGTTCTATTACACTGCAATAAAACGTGGTTATTAGGATGCATATGTATAAAATATCCTTCAAATAATATTCCTAGTTAGCAACTTACGCGCTCAAACTGCATAACAATCTATTTACATTTGCCGCAAGTTCTGGTTGTATTTGTTTCACATAATCTACAGTTGGAAGTGGATTTGGAAGAGTGTAATGAAAGCTGCTAGGCATTCCTACTGCTTCAGCTGCTAAACCGCTGTATGATAATATAAACAGTATGTTAATTATATAGTACAAACTGATACGGTTAATACTAAAACTCACCACATATCACGGGCGTAAACATATGCTGTTTCGAAATACTGAAAAGCTTTTTGCGCCCTACGTTCTTGTTCCTGAATGTCATTTTCAACACCTATTGCATCGTGTAATTTTTGTTCGTTTATTTGCGACTGATAATCGTGACATTTTTCTTTCAACTCCTGCAAACATGACACCACGAATACGAAATTATGTTAAGGTAATGTGATATAAAGTTAATCAAAAGAATATTTAAATGAATTACCTCAATTTTTTTAGAGACTCGTAACATTAAATCACGATGTTTATCCATGTTAACCATCTGAACCAAATCACTACATTTATCCAAGATATAACTATCTTCCATCAGTGATTTCTTGTCTGGAAAGAGAAATTTTTGGTATTGACGAAAATTCTCTAAACTATTACTATTATCTTCCCCTTCAAATATAGTCAAAAAAAAATTACCAGATGTATTTTTAAATATCTCCAATAGCTGTTTTAGAATAACTTCTGCTTTTCTTTGGAACGAATCGCTCACAGCTGCTATCCAATGTTTTATAGCGCACTGTAAAACAGTTACAGTTGTCCAAGGTGGTCTTATAATTACATATTTTTCCCAAGATTCCCCATATAATGAATGCATTTCTTTGCCAACTATCTATAAAAAAACATTGTTTATTACTTCTCGTGCAACATTTACTTTTTATTGCTCAATGTATGATGAATGTTGCTTATAGTTACCACTGTTAGAAAATCCCTTATAATACTCTTTGCATCCTCCAGTATTTCGTCTGATAAAGATAGTTCTTGACTTAAAATTGA